AACAAACGGGGTTCGGCTTCTAGTGTGTTGAAACATTAGGGTAATTAAAAACATTTTTAGCATAATGTTAGTAACTTTTTAATTATTTATTTATTTAAAATTGTTGTTGTATTAATTGTATTGTATTAGTTTTGTTGGTATCATACCTTAACAATAATGAATATGATTATTATTATAATAATTGTTATATCTCGTAAGTTTTGTTACTATTAATATTTTGATTACTTTATTCATGACATAATTATCAATTAATTGTAAATAATGTGCATAAGTTAAAATTAAAATGGAGTTTGTAATTATTATATATAAACACATATTTTATACTAGTTAACATTTCTATCTAGATGTTAATATATTAAATGGTGCGAAGGTGAAATGGACCGAGAAGCAATACGACGAGTATTTATGGTACGGCTATAGTTTTGGCGACGGAGACATTTCACTTATTACCGATCAAAAAACAGCCCTCGATAGATACTGCCCACTGTACGCGTAACTATAATCTAGATTAATTTTTTTGTAAAACACATAAACAATTAAAATCCCACGTTGCATAACTATACTAAACTAAAAAGTTACTAACATTATGCTAAAAATGTTTTTAATTACCCTAATGTTTCAACACACTAGAAGCCGAACCCCGTTTGTTCAACAAATACGGGACTACTTTTACGAGCACTACGGCTCGAGCTTTATTGCCACGGGGCTCATGGAGTCAATGAACTCGTTGTTTCCATTTTTGCATATATGGTGCGAAACATTCACCAAGGGCCCCGGCTTTGGCATGGAAATCATCTTGGACTTTATTAAGGAACAGAACGCCAAGACCCCGCTTATGGTGCCGATCCGTAAGCGTTTGACCATGGTGCTGACCGAGGCCGCACAACCCGGTACCGCCTATACAGCCGGCCATGTGCTTTGGTATGTGTGTATTTATGTGCACTAGCACTTTAAGGGGGACTGTTTTGTTTAAAATTGTTTATGGCAAGCACTGTAATAATTTGGTCAGTGCTATTTGTTAACTAATGCAACCGTACATTTTAGACCAAATAACCTTGTGCACCTTGCTTGTTAGAATAATCTAATATACATTAATTATTTTACAGTTTTCTACATAAATGGTTAACAGAGACTAGATTGCTATTTCGGAAAGATAGGCCAGATTATGATGTAAAATTCATAGGGGCAGTGAATGGCCTATGGGCGTTCACACTACCTTTTGGGGGTAATACAACATGCACTTGGCCCAAAACAACCAATACAAATTTAACCATAACATTTAAATCGATCCCGGTGATGGCGTACAGGGCACTGGTCAATGTGGATAAGACGCCAAAGATTATGACAAAATTTGTACCAAGAGAATTTCTTAACGTGGCACACTCCTTCTCCGGTCCTATCGGTTCGCTGGTTGGTTAGAGTTTATTCGTGATTAGTTACAGTATAATATTTGTATTTATTTATAATTACTTATTTATAACATTTAATTAAGTAACAAAACACAATAAAAGTTAAAATCAATTGAATTAATCTAGATTTTGTTTAGCGATTTTTATAATATTTTATTTTTCAAACAAAATGTATTGAACAAACTCTTCGTTATAATCATAACCACTATTATTGACATCAATTGTGGACACGATATGAGCCCTCACAGCACTGTAAGGCACTGACCACTCGGACCTCTTTAACAAACACGCGTTACAGTTCGGTCTCTCCTTTTGGACCCCCTTTAATAAAACATTGGTTTAGCTCAAAATATCATTGTATGTTTGAGTAATCACTTTATTATTTGACAACCTGTTA